CAGGATGCTGGACAGGTACACTATTTTCAATCAGTTGTGCAAAACCTTCCTTAAATAATCTTGTCAGATGCTCCAGTCCATTATTTTTTCAAATGACTGGTACATTTAAGTTTTTACCAAGTTTTAAGGATTAATGGATTAATAATATACATGAAAAAAATTCTCAGTTCTGATTGGTTAAGATGAATGCAGTTTTCAGTTAATTCAGTGCAGAAGAGAGTTAATTCAGTGCAAAGAAAGAAACAAACCAGACACTCTGATTGGTCAGAATGATTGGTCCCTGTCAAGGTCAATGTCACTTGCAGGGTTTGAATAAGTTGTTTTTTGCACGTGATGGGGGCGCTTTTCTTCTGCGTAGTTATGAGATGCTACCTCGTATTTTTCATGTATAAGATTAATACAAAATCACATGATTTTCTTGTGCAATTTGGAAGAAATAATCACTTGTAAATTTTTTCAAAAACCACAAATTGCGCTCGCCCTACGGGCTCATGCAATTTTGTTAGTCTGAAAAAATTTACTCGTGCTAATTTATTCCAAATTGCACTCGAAATCATGTGATTACCTATACAAATATTGGGAATTGTTCGCTACTTCTGCCTGACTGAATGCCTTTTCACTTGCATGCTGTAAGGGTGTCAACTCAGCTGGGCCTAATTGATGGGGAGGATGCAAAAAGATATTTTTGATAAACAGATCGTAGCGTTTCTCAAGGATGTCACGCAACGCACCATCATTGCGTGATAACGATACCGCTTTGAAGGAGCGAGTTTGTCGTTCGTGGAATAAAACACTTGACGTAAATTATTTCCTTTTGTCAATGGGCCTGTGATATGTGCTAGGGGGACCAGAAAAAATAGTTAATTTGCCAGTACAGAAGAATATCATACTTGTGCCTTTTTGAAGTGAGATTAAACGTGCAAGTCTTGGATCAATTATTTGATACAAAGTCATTTCCTTAAATGGTAACAAAGACGCGAGTTTCAAACTTGTTTCTCCTATCTCTCCTCCTCAAATAGGTAAAAGACAGCTATATTTGTTTAATTTTTTTCAATTTTAATCTGACACTTTCATTACAGTGAGGATATGCAGGTGTGAAGAGAGGTGGTTAAAATATTTTATCACGACAAAACCCAAAATACTTGAGCAGATGTGTGTTTTGTCAGTCATTCGTATGGTGAGTACAAACATAGCTTATCTAAAGAATGTTGAAAATGTCTGTTGATATATTCCTAACCCTGTTTTGTAGGGGTCGATTGTTGCTGAGTGATGAGAAACTGAAATTTGATCTCACCGTGTTCATTGTGTTCCGCTCGATTAACCTTGCGCTGTTATTATTGTGTAGTGTTTTAGCACAATGCTATCACTTCATAATTTTCTGTTTCTGAAGAAAGGCTATCGCTTTGCCCTCTGGAGGAACAGGCATCATATGTCTTTCATTACAGGAATTAATGATAATTATCGTGTTTTTCATGCAGAAAAGTTTTAATGTAGTTCCTCTCTCACTCGGCGTGGTCGTTTAATAGCAGGAATCATGGTTTGTGCACGTTTTCAGCGTGTTGATCTTCCATTTAGCGATCATGGAAGGTGGTCGGAGCTGAAAAATCTCTATGTGAAGCTAGAGGGAGTGAAGGATGCAGAACATCTTGTTGACGTTCTACAAAGGATTTTTGAGGTTGCTGGTAATGACATCAAACAACTCCGAGTCCCAAGCGATCGGGCAGGCGCCAAAGAAACTTCCGATTCCTTGAAGCTAAGCTGGCATTTTCAAGGGCTACAGCTGTTTTTTGACGAGATTGCAACAGAACAAGAAAGTGCGACATTTTTTGAGACAATTCTTCCGTTCATCGTCAATTTAGCATTAAGCATCGAAGAGTATTCTCCAAGTCAAGGCATTCTCCTGTGTTCACAACAGCGAGGTGCGTACTGTTTGTTGTTTACAGTTAGCGATATTGGGCACAGCCAGTGATACTATAACAATCTAATTTTTAGGCGATTTAGCTCGAGAAATGAAGCGCAACCATCAGCAGAGCTGTGTAAAACAATCTTGGTTTTAAATATGTTTTAAAATGTGTTTTAATCTCACGAGCGTGCCTCTATTGTCGTGGTGGACAATAATACTTTGTCGAGTACGTCCCGCTGTTGTTGTTGAAAACCTTTTACGAATTCTCACGACAATCCAAAACCTCTTCTAATCCTTTTGTTACTTTATTAGAACTCCTTCAGAATCTCTAACAAGCTTAAGTTGCTAAGGATGTCTTTCCTAATTAGAACTAAGTTACGCAAAAGTTTGAAGAAATGTCCGAAAACTTGGCGCCGAAAAATAGAATTTTAATAGTTTTCTGTGACGATCACGGAATGATTACTGTTCAAAATGATCATGCCGTAATGAGTGCATGTCTTAAACGCAGTTATGAAAACGCAATTTATTTGATTGCTAACTCGAAATGCATTGGAAATCTCTGTCAGATTTTGTTGTCAATAATACTTAAAGATCTGGTTCCTTTAATTTTTGGTATTTTTCATTGTATTTAATGAGATATAACCTGTTCAATTAAGACCATCTTTAATTTATTGACCCCATATCTTAAAGCACGATTAATTTAACGTCACAATGGTAATAGTCAAGATATGTAGATAATTACTTCTCGGTGGTTTTCAGAGGTGATGGACGTGATGACTATTGGTGTGGTGTTATTGCCATTTTTTTTAGCAATGTCTTTCTTTTCTTCGTAAGATACACTGTTTCCAGCCATCTTAAAATACTTCAGTGATTCTTTTCATTAAGGCCTCCCAATTTTGTCTCCCTTTCAAAATCAAATTGTCTGTACACAGGTTTTTTCAACATGTAAAATCTTGCATAATCAGCCAACTTGAAGTTCATTACAATTATGTTGCAGAGTCTGGTATTGTCCTTGACAGAAGATTCATTGCTTGTCTCCTGGCCTCGGCATTTCTCTGTGCACTGCCCCCACCAGCAGATGACACACAAGTTAGATCCATTAACTTTGTTCATTTGTTTACGTGTTTTCACAGGTAGGATTTTTTTTAAAAAATTACAATATTTAAACATAACTTCTCAACTGGTGATGATGTATGGTCCAGTCCTCTTTCTAATTTTACTTTTTATATATAAAGAGAGGATATCCAAGATGCTCAGGCTGCAAAGCTGCAATGTTTAATACACTACTTTGAAAAACTTAGCAGTGTCTGGCCGGATGTAACAGGAAGAGTTTTCTACAGTAGACAGGTGACTTAATTAGAAATAATAAATTAATCAAAGACATTTTGAGCTTAGAAAAGATTCAGTGGTAGGAAAGTGTTGCATGATGAAAACTTCAGAACTTTCAAACCATTAGAAAGTAAATCTGGATGTCTTGAACCATATCAAGGCTCTTTCAGCAGCCTATTTGATCATTCTGATAGATTTATCACCCAAAGTATGTTGAAATTTTAGTAGAATTAAGAAATCCAACAATTAAATACTTCCTTATTTTACCATGACTTGTTTTTTGAGCGAGTGTATTAATTTGATTTACCAGGTTATACCAAGTAACTCTCTTCCTTCTCTTAATGATTGGATGTCATGTGACCTTCCTCTGTGTCCAGTTATTGTCGATAACAAGACATCAATAGAAAATTCTGGAGGACATATGCTCCAGGTTTGTTGTGAAATCTGAAACTGCTGAGTGCCCCTTTAGCTTGACTCCAGTTTTGGTGCTCTGTTGAGTGTCATTGGCTTTTCTTCCTTGAAGAATGCTGACTTCTTTCCCAAACTGGTGATCAAGACTATTTCTTACGTAGTTTAACACAAACAACAGCTTATGTTTACTTGAAGAATTGAAATTATTTTATAAAATTTGAAACATGCTTGTCCATCTTTAACAGTCAATTTAGTCTTTCCTGTTCCAAATTGGCAGTTAATTGATGCAAACTTGTGATGATTCATATCACTGAGATAGGTAATGGCCTCTCCAAGTTAGCTGGTGCTCATATCTCTAAGAAAATTGAATAAAATGAGTTTTAATCGGGACTTAAAGACCATTAAAGGTATCTTTTGATTTATAAAATTCATAGGTGGACTTTGCCAACCGTTTCATTGGAGGAGGTGTTTTAGGTGCAGGTCAAGTCCAGGTATTCCCTTTCATGTAAATTTTAAATCAGATCGGTAGTCATGTAGTGATCAAATTTGTTTGGTTGCAAGGGAAACAGGTAGTGCAGTAAAAAATGGAATTTGGGAAGGGTGATGTACTTGAAATTAAAAAAAATAAGAAGATCTGTACAAAGGAGGGTGGATATCTTTCCAAAACAGTGCAGTTTCGCAAGGATGGTTTCCCTAACTTTATAGTCTTGATTTTTATGCTTGTTTGCGTTTTTTCCCTTTCCAGGAGGAGATCAGGTTTTGTATTAACCCTGAATTACTAGTGGCTATGATGACTATGGAAACTATGCAGGACAATGAAGCAATTATAATCAGGGTCAGTTATAAATCTCTTTCATTCTAATCAGAACCGTAGTAAGAGTGTGCGCATTAATTTCGTCTCTGTGAATGTATTTATTCTAGGGAGCTGAAAGATTTTCTTCCTATTCGGGATACGGAAGAACCTTCAAGTTCACTGGCGACTTTAAGGACGAATCAGAGGTAATTTTGGCGACTATCATTTGCTAAGCGAACGGTTGGACAAAATAAAGACCATCTACTGAGAACCGTAAATACTGGCTCTTTGCCACAAGCACTACGGTGTAATAGATGTGCTTGAACGCTTGTCTTTTAGTTAAAAAAAGGTCATTTTGGCAGATTATGATCAGAAAGATGAAATGCGTGAAGAGCGTTTGATTTCCTTGCATAATTTTGTGGATTAACAGAGACCAAGGTATTTTACCATAACAGAAATGTGTAAGTTTACAAAACTGCCAACTGTTAAGAATTTAGAAACTTTTTTATACTCAAGTTGTAGCCGTGAAATTGACCGGGCATCAAACATTTTCTTGGTTATAATATTCCGAAAATCATAGTTTTTGTTTTTTTTTTTACTCGGAAAGAAGTGTCATTTCGTCATCATTTCTTTTAAAGCACGATGAAGACGGTGATTTTCAGACCACAGTGGTAGCAATTGATGCAAAACGGTTCAAGAACATGCCAAGAGAAAGTCAGTATGAAGAATCTGCGTTGCTAAGAGAACTAAACAAGGCTTTGGTAGGATTTTACAACCCTGAAGTCGGTACCCAGATCCTCCGCACTCCATCAGGTTGTTATCTATGTGCGCGTTCTTTCGTTGTTCAATTTTTACTTTCATTTTCGCTCAGACGGCCCTTGAAGATCGACTGATTTAAATCCTTTCTCAGTATAATCACAACAGCCAATCGTAGTGAGGGAGAATGCGTGAAAGGCTCACGTGACTAAGTCCTGATTGGTTTAAGTTTTGCATCTAATTGGTTGAAAAGAGCGAAACGTGCAACGGTGAGCAGAGTTCTGGGCTTCATTGTCTGGGAAGTGAATTTGCACATGTTCCCGACACTCAAGCAATTCAACGATTTGACTTTTCTTTCATGAATCCTGCTGTAGAATATTAAGGCGCTACTCAAGTTGCAATTCTCTTACAACATTCATTCTCATTCGTCGCAATATTCACTAACTCAACGAATTTAGGCGAATTACTTTCTATTTACACTACTATACTTTTTGTTCGTTGCTGTTCGCCACGAACCTTTTTTTTGCCAGTTGTCGATGTAATTTTTTTCTTTCTTCGTAGACGAAGAAAGTGACATGTCTTTAGCTGAAAGCGAAGACTTTGCTTCATCGGAAGAACTCGTGCTCTCTTCGGAAGATCCTGTGGTATCATCGGAAGAAGCCGAAACTCATAAAAGGCAGCCCTTGCCAAAAGACGGTAAAGTTTTGGAAATTCCCGAGTTTAGTCATAACCTTGTCAATCTTGCGTTATCGCAAGCTATGGACGAAGTAAACAATAACTGCTTCTTAGAAGACTTTGTTGACGGTGATATTGTGACTAATGTGATGAAAAAGTCTTTGATCGAAGTCTTCGGTGGTACTCCCGAAAAAGCTCGGAGATACTCGGAAAACCTTTTGAGTCCTTCGCTGCTCCCGAAGTGCTTGTCGCTTAACGCGAGTGGTTCAAATTCTCCGACAGTTCCCGGTACACCTCCGTCCTCTCCTGCAATGTATGATCCGAGCATTTCTGAACAGACATCTTTAGACTCGCAATTACGGTTGAACACTTCTCTAAGGTTAAATAGAAGTTCAAGTAAAGATGGATCTCTCTCTTTTTCCGTGAAGAGCTTTGCTGACTCACTTTCCAACTCTCTAATGTCATGTGTGCAGTTGACGTCATCCCTCGCCACTGCCATAGCAACCGTGGCGACTTCACCAGGACAAGTGGTGTCGGATACCAAAGAAGCATTTTGCGAGAGCCCCAAGAACATAAGGTCCCCCGTGAAGAATGGAGATAGTATTTTGTCATTTTTGAATCGGAAAGTTCCTCAATCGGAGATTTCGCCGAATAAGACTTTCACTGATGGTTTTCACTTTACCGAATTTGTGGAAGACTTATCATCATTAGTGAAATCAACAAAGCTACAAAGGTTCAAGGTCAAAGATGACGCGGAAAGCTGTCTGATGTCTTCAGGCGCTAGACAAAACCTTATGGAGGAATTCAATCAATTTGGGGATGAATCCAACGCAAAGGTGTACGAGCAGTTTGCAACAAAATTATCAAGCTTCACTGTCGATTTGGCCCTTACCTCTTTATTTAGATCACCATTTGAAAGGGACGAACTTGAGAAAGACGTTGGAGAAATTCTCACCGAACAGAGTACAGATCCTGACTCGATGGATCCATCTGATGAGCAAATTGGTAACGGTTCTCAGTCCCCATGGAGCGCTGCGCAAATCAAAGGTAGTCGGGAGTTTCTTAACATCCTTAATGGTCACGCAAATGCTCTGTTGGTAGATACGATACAGTCTGCTCTGGCTGAGGCAGCAGAATATTGTGTTGAGAGAACAACTTGTGATTATTTTTCTTCTCCCGTCGATGAAGATTATGAACCATTGAAAGAAAAAGAAGGGCAAGGAGAGATGGAAAATAAGACGGCAGATGCGAGTAGCTCGTCAGAATCTTCCGAAGGGGAGCAAAGTGACTACACTGAGGAAGGTAACCTGACTTTAGGGAATTCTCTGAATGACCTCGCCTCTGAATTCCCACAGGCTGTGTTTGAAATAGCACAGAAACTTTCCCAGAATATCATTTATGATGGAGTGGCGCAAGCAGTAGTAGTGGTGATGAAAGAAAAATCCAAGGAAATGACGACAGAGGTTCAACTGGAAACTCCCAAGGAAGTCACAGAGGTTGATACTAAGAAAAAGGCAGAAGAATCGCTCTCCTTCTTTGTTGAGGATGGAACCGACAAGCAGACTTTGAATGGATTTTCGGAAGATCTGAGCTGTTTCACGATACGTGGAGCTGTTAAGCTTGCTGGAGCACTCCTTGAGACGCCCAACGGGGAACCCCGGGTACGCCCCGTTGCAACCGGGAACTGGGGATGTGGGGTGTTTAAGGGGGACCCGGAATTGAAGGCTGTTATTCAGTGGGCTGCCGCGTCAGCAGCTGGGTGTCCTGTGGTAGTTTACCATTCTTTTGGTGACCAGAGAATGTCACATGTGAGTTTCCTTCCAAGGATTTTAGTATTTTCTTATAGATCATTTCAGATTATAGAAAGGATTTTGTATTCATCGGCGAGTTTTCTGCTTTACCCGCACAATGTTTTCCCAATGTTTTTCCAACGTGTTATTTGTAATTCGGTAGCAGCGCAACAGGCGCTTGATAGAAAGATCTGGTTTTAGAATCCCTCTGGGAAGTTCGAATTTTTTTTACTTTCTTCCACGCTAGTGAAACCTAACGACATATTTCGACGACGATATTTGTTCATCCGACGACCGAGCCAAACATTTAATCATTCATTACTACGATCATGTTCTGTCAGACTATTGCCTTTTTAAGTTGATTACCTTTCTTTTGCCTTTTAGTTGGTAGGACCCTTGTCTGTTTGCGCACTTTGATAAATTTTCCTTTCCATCCTTGATTAGCTAATGTCGTTGCCAATTCGTTTTATCGTTTGACACGTATTTCTCCCTTTTATTTCTCTTTCAAAGTTCCTCAAGGCACTCGTTTGTTTACACTCACGTAACTGGAAAATCTCTGACGTCATCCAAGGAGTTCTTCGATTCTACAAAGCTATCCAGGTAGGAAGGGAGGAAACTGTTGGAAAAAATTCGTCATTGCTGTCATTTCTCTGCCAAATGCGTCAACCATCTATCAAAAAATGAAAAAGAAACGTAAACATCTGGGAACAAAGGTGGACGCCAGTCGGACAGCTCTTTACTTATTAAAGTTCACTAAACAACTTGCATGTCTGAGTGCGACCAAGAGAGGTCAAAGAATCGAAGACTGTTCAGTACAAGCTCTGCTGTCCATAGTTTTACGATGTAAGGAAGAGAATCAATGGATTTAGAAAGTATCGCGACAAAGTAGCGTAAATTTATTATAAGATACTTTTGTAGAGTAAGGTAAGATGTATTTCGAATTGCAGTTTGGATCCCTTAATCAGGAGAATGGAGCAAATGGAAATTTTCCCTGCTCTTTCACGAAAAATATTTGGATCTGGCAGTTAGCCCATAAGGATGGGGACTTGCTAATTATTATTCTAGGAGACACTCGTGAAGTCCGTGGTTTTGATGAAATAGTATTTATCTTTTTGTCAATGTAACTAACCTTCCTGTGCATGTCACAGTGCAGCCGCGCATGCTCCGCACGACAAGCGCAAAGCGCAGAGTGTGCAAAGCTGCACGGTGTGCCAAGCTGCACGGTGTGCTAAGCTGCACGGTGTGCAAAGCTGCACCGCGTGCAAAGCTGCACGGTGTGCAAAGCTGCACGGTATGCAAAGCAGCACTGTGTGCAAAGCAGCACAGTGTGCAAAGCTGCACGGTGTGCAAAACTGCATGGTATGCAAAGGAGCACGGTGTGCAAAGCTGCAAGGTGTGCAAAGCTGCACGGTATGCAAAGCAGCACGGTGTACCAAGCTGCACGGTGTGCCAAGCTGCACGGTGTGCGAAGCTGCACGGTGTACAAAGCTGCACGGTGTGCGAAGCTGCACGGTGTACAAAGCTGCACGGTGTGCGAAGCTGCACGGTGTGCCAAGCTGCACGGTATGCCAAGCTACACGGTGTGCGAAGCTGCACGGTGTGCGAAGCAGCACAGTGTTCCGACCCAGTTCATTGTTTAGAGATATAACTTTGAAGGAAAGCTACTGAGTGGCATGGTTTCTAGTTTAGTCTGTTTCAATTGGCCTTCGGAAGGGTATCAAGCCTTATACCATTTTTCAATTCATTATGAGTATAAGTTAAATTATTTGTTCTTCTTGTAAGACCCAACGAGGATGTTTGGTTTCTAGAGCACACGTATTTTTTACAGGGCAGGAGATGTACCTTTAGAGTTTTATTATAAAATTATAGTCGTGTTATAATAACTGTCGATATCTAAGTGTAGTTTATACTTTAAAAATCTTAGGAACTTACATTTTTGATAACGTTTTTGTAGTTTATTCGCAAAACGTAAATTGTTTGCTGATTGAATTTCCAGTTTCATGGTAATTTTTATACAAAGACATTTTTTTAGAAATAAATGAATGCAGAAATTAAGGCCCTGTTTACAAGCAAGGAGGGTAACCCTTGTGCTAGGGTTACCCTAGCAGGCGGGTCAAAGATAGCCCGGGTTTACAAGCAAAAGTTCACAGATAGGGTTACCTTACCACCCGGGACAACTTACCTATGCTTGGTAACCGCACGCATTGTTATCAATGTTCAAAGGGTCTGAAAACAAGTAAAAAGTTGTCCCGGGTAGGCGAGTTATCCCCACCAGAGCGTTTACAAAGCAGCTAGGGTTACCCTAGCTGCCTTGTGAATTCGTCCATGAAAAAAAGAAGAAATGTGGGAGCGTTAGGGTAACCCTCCTGCCAGGGTAACCCTAGCACTAGGGTTACCCTACCTGCTTGTAAACAGGGCAATCGAAAATCAAGTATATCTGACGTATATCCCATTTTTAAAATTAAAGTAGATGAAAGTATCTCGTTTTATTATTCGTCGCCTTAGCGTTTCAGTCGAGCCAGTTTCAGAAATGTATATTTGCGTTGTGTTTGATTGGGTATCAATATTTTCCGAAGTATTTACGAAGGAATTGTAAAACAGAGATCTTACGTTAAGCCATTAACGCAAACAAGCTAATTTTCTCTTAGTTGGATGTGATATTTATCAATTTTCAAACTTATTAAACGAATGCAGTTGTCCTCAATTCCCACGCGTCAGTTCATAAAGCAGAGTTTGAAAAGAAAACCTCATTTCTAACCAGAGTTCATGACGCCAAAGTCAAATGAATGTAAATGCGTGCGTGCACATACGTTAAATTTTTAAGAACAGCTCACGCTTTGTACTCCGCCCTAACTAAGTGTCGCAGTTGGTCGGCAAATGTAACCTATATTTTTCTATTCTTTGTATTTTGTAAGGGGACAAATGTCAATTGGGGCTCGCCCTGTATTTTTCTCCTGCCAGTATATTTTTGTTTATTTATTGCGTGTCTCTGTTCATGTATTGACATGTAAATTGTATTTTTCAGTGGCAAATTTCAATAAACTAAACTAAACTAAATTTTTAATTCGGAATCTTTTATGACTATTCACTATTTGCGTTCGCAAAAATCATTACATCCGCCGCTCTTATTAGAATGCTAGAACAATCATGGCTGAGACCCTTCAACCAAGTATCGTGAACCTGTGCATCATTTAAAAACGCGATAGCATTCTGTATCGTTGCCATAAATACACAACACGAGATGTTGATTAATTTTTTATTATGGAGTATCAATCAATTTCTATTACTTCAGTCCACTGTTTGGCATTTTATGTCAGTAACTTGATCAAAAAACGCCCCCGTGCGAATCTTCCCTTTTCGTACAGAGTTAATGACGTGTTTAATTCTAATTCATTTCCTCAGCGAATGATGCAAACAGCGACCTTTAGTGGGTGTTTTCCAGCTGACATGTATGCAACAAGCAAGGTTTAATTACATTTGTTGTATTTTTACACCAATCCTCTGACGTTAAGCCATTGTAATTTGCCGCTTTGTTGTTTCCATGTTGTTCCCATGCATATTTCTGAAATAAAGCCATATTCTTTGCTAGAAATGACTCGCTGCGACCGCCCAAAAATTTGCTATCTAGGAGCGATACTGATATTAAGATCTATATGGCGCGTTTCCTGCCTAACCGGAGAAGTGAAATAAATAGCTTTCATTGTTACTAATTAAGCTTTAGGTCGCCGTTGTAAATTGCTTTTAAACGTAGTAAAATGAAAAATTCATTTCATCAGATAAATCATTCCTTAATGTACAGAAGCGGTTTGGCGGTGTGTTTGGTAAAAAAAATAATGATAAAATGAGTCATGATAGTGAAAAGAGTACAGTACCAAGAAAAAACAGTGCTCACCACGCTAGCTCAGCTGCGAATTATCGATAATAAACAGACCAAAGGTTCCTTTCGTTTTCACCATGTCTTGCTGTGAGAAATTGGAATAAAAAAGTAGCATGGAAGTGAAATTTTGACACCAACGTCGTCGAATAGCGCTCAAGTAACTAAGTAAATCGTCATGTGTACTTTTGAAAAGAGCTGCTTTTTACGATGAACATTTCGCCGCAAACTGCAGCAAGTAATGAAATTTCAGGGCGGGAGTTTTAATAGACGTAAGATGGGATCTGAGAACCAAACCATTAAGAACAACACCTGCTGGGCACGAACAAATATGATTCAATTGTTCCACTACCAAGGTTTACATGCATAATGATGAGTTCACAAATAAAGGTGTTTGGATTGGAGAGGCGAATAATTGATAAAAGCAGCGAACTGTGCCAGGAGTTAGGCAGTGAAAAGTTTACCTTGGGTTCGGCTTGTGTCACTTGTCAGAAATATACGGTCTATTTTGAAAACGAATTTAAGGTGAGAATTACACGCGTTTGTAAGCCAAAGGAGCAAGGTTTGCCGGACTTATAATTGCTGTAGTTGCTCTGGAACAATCGGATATATAAAGGAGTCGTGTAAATGAGTTTTGTAGGTAAAATTTATTGCACTCTGAACGTTTGTCGGTGCTTCTTTTCATGGCATCGGGAATAGCTAGTACTTTTAATCATTTATCTATAATTCATGAGTCAATACCAAACGACCTGTAGAATTACATTTTTTTAAAGGTGTTCATGTTTTCTTGGCAGGTAAGTTTCATCATCAAACCTAGAAGTCTGATGCTTTATCAGTGCGAATATATGACTTCATTTAAGGTATACCCGGTGTCATTACAACTCGGAGAAGACGGTATCTTACGAAATCAAACTCTAGTGAAATGAAGGAAAGATGATTTATTGGCCGTGCATTAATGCGCGACAACTGTTGGTGTTGACGGTAGAAATGAAGTTTATTTTCCAGCTGAGTGAAGGCAGAATTTGAATGTATTTAGATGACATTTCGGTGTTATTTAAAACTTACTTTTGGTTTCGATTCATTGTTGGTTTCGACTGCGTTTGTTATCTCCAGCTGCTACAATACTGATGCCTTTTGTTTCTCCAGTAAGACACCAGTCGAAAAACTCTTAAGTTAGATGTTAAACGCAGGGGGCATTTTATAGTTTTATTTCATTTGCTATTTGCATTTGTTCTCTCTAAAAGGAACAGTAATCTAATTTCAATTCCAAGTTCTACTCTAGGTAGAAAGTGCAACGTCAAACAAAAAGTTTCGTCTTCCCGTTTACGAGTCATTTTAAAATAGATTTGGTATTGATTCTCGATCAATTTGTTGAACCGGCCGTTTAAGCGATATCATGTTATTTTCTGTACGTGAAGTTTCGTAGTACTTACTAAAGATTTTGATGTTTACTACCCGTCATTATAAAAGTAATCGGGACCTGGACGTGTCTTGGACGTTTTTCTCCGTTTTTTTGTCAAGCACTTACACATTGATTATACAAAGGTGTTTTATCTCTCTTCTTCCTTCTTTGCCCACGACAATTTTTATTTGTCATACGAGAAAAGAACTTTTGTCGGCCCTTAAGAGTTTTTCTCTCTTTAAGATGTGTCATAGCATAACTTATCCGAAGGTCATTACCGTTAGCAGGTGAATCAACATCAAAACACAGCAAGAATCGATATGTGTTAATGCTTTTTTTTTTTAGACAGAACTCTTTCCAAACTTTTCATCGAAATTTTCAACCACAAGTCAGTTGGAGGGAAATATCCTGATCGGGGAAATACAAAAGCTGTTTCGAACTATTGGAAATTGGAAAAAGTCTAGCCGAAATTAACAAAGGACAAACTATTAAGAAATGGTTTATTTACTTGACAGGTCAGTTTGACTATGTGATAGACATGTTCTTTTAAGTTTGACAAGATTATCGAGAATAAAGATATACACGCATAGCTTGAACGATTTGAACTACAAATTACAATGACGTTTGGACAAACAGCTGATATCCACTGCGCGAAAAATGAGTTTTTAGACGTTAATCACGACTCTTTTTTATTGTGGCTCTTTGGAGAACCATACAGAGCAATTAATGATTTAAATATTACTTTTAAACCAAGTGACTGCTAGTAACCTCACCTCATTTTCTACAAGAGCTCGTGTTCGGCAAAATTTCAAATGAATTAACTTGTATTTTAAACTGGAAATGACTGGGAATGAAGAAAACTATTATTGGCAACAACGCCATAGCATAGAGCTCATTATCGTAAACACTTTTAAAAGCCTTTGAAGAGTGTTCTTAAATCTGTCAATGAACTGGTACTGGCACACTCAATTATTACTTTGCGAGTGACCACGTTGTCCGCTTTCATTTTCAATAATTACATTGAAAAATAGAACATTTGAGTGAGTGAAACAGTCGAACGGAACAAAAGAAAAAGAGCGGCATTTCAGTCTTGGATCGTTTGGAAATTAAGGAGTCTGCAGACTTTTCATAATAACACAAGGGACTTATAAAGCTATTCAACATGTGAAGTGTTGTACCTAACCTCTTCCTTTTTGTTGTTGTTGTTGTTGTTTTTTTTTAAGGTGATGTAGAACAAGACTCAAGGTTATGCAAGTCAATAATGAACGCATGCCGTTCAACTTTTTTAAATTTCTGAGAATTAATGTTAGCCATACCATACTATCCAAAGGGAATATTCTCTCTGAATTATATTTAAACAATATGCAACAGTTCATATATCAAGTTAAGATCAAAAGAACTTTAATTCTCAAAGACACCAAGCTCGTTGCAGAATATTTTCCACTTTAAGTCTCCACTGTGGCGACATTATCAACCATATTCTTTAAAAAACAAAAACAAAAACAAAAAAACCGTGGGCTCTGATCAAAACCATCAGCCTTTCCATTTCTGGTTTATAACATGTCTCATGGTTTTCTGTAATGAGAATGTCTTTGGTAATGGTAATGCTGAAGTTGAAGGCATAAAAATATTTCATATCTGGTGACTCGAGTATGGTCGTAAAAATTGGTAAGGACTGGACTGTTGAATCGTTTGGAACGCAAGAACATGAGCGATCACATAAAAAACAAGGTTATTTGTACGATTCGTTAAGTTTACGTATAGTCGAAAATACTGCTCACATGTATCGATGGCGCAGTTTCCCATGCCATATGCGTTGTTGGTATTTTTTTTGGTCGGTTTTGAAAAGCAATAAGTCCAATAACTTCGAATCATTTGATAGATGTATGAAAATAGTTGTAGTCGTTTTTACCTTACTAAGATTCTGGACGCATACGAGTTATTGTGTTTATTACGGCAAGCGTAGCTGGCCCCTACAGTTTTCATTGTGAACGAGTTGGTTCTATCTTAAGGTATTGCTTTACAAAAAAAAAACGTTGAATTTTTTTCTGTTCCGACCTTCGAGCAGAATACAGATCCCAGAAAGTAGCCGTCAAAACATTTAAAATCAAAAGAGAAATGTGTGAGTTGTCACGCGCTACGTGGAATGTGTGACAAGTGACTAACCTTTCGTTTTCATGATAGATATTTGTACTCAACATTGTAACATTTACACCGGCATTCTATTGCCAGAGAAGCGAGCGGTTGCGAATTCTTTTTCCAATCCGTCTAAATGAGATTGCATTCAGCGTATCGGATTATTCTTCAAAGGTAATGACTTCGCAGGTTTTCTTTGGGAGCTATACGAGCTCTGAGCTTTTTCTAAACTGCTAACTAGTAAGACCTGATAGCGCATGCACAGACTCATCAAAGCTTCAGGGGTGAAGATCAACGTAAATCTCAATAAAACCTCGGTAAGGGACGCACACAAATTACTTTAAAAAAATTAATTTACTTAAGATTTAGACACGATGTCCAGGCCAAGATGATGGAAATGACTCGCTTCAATCATGAATGGCCGATACCTTCGGCTTTTTAAACGAACAAGAAGCATACACCAGGTTGTACGCTTCTGACCAAATTAAATTTACAAAGTGTTATCAGTCAGAGAGAGTTCAATTTCCACTGAGTACGTTACTAAAACAAATTAGTTTTGCGAATCATATTGAACTTTGGTCAGAGCTCTTGTTTGATATCTTGGTTATTCAGCACAGATACCACACTGAGATAACAGTTCAATTTTTTTAACTGTCTTTGATTTAACAGCTCACAACTCACATCCTCTCTTTCTCTTGGATAAACACGTTCCTTATCAGGGGAGAATAAAAACCCATCAGTTGGACATTTCACCAAGTGCTATTACAATAAAGACGTGTATGTATTCAAAAAATACGTTACTTTACTCTGTTTATCAGTTTCGTAAATGCATTACCGCTTATTTACTGATGTTCGTCCACTGTTAAATTTTCATTCTTTTTCCTTTTCTCGTTGTAAATTTTACCGATACTCTATCAGATAGCTGTAATGTTATGCACAGTATTTCGGTTCCTTTTTCTCAGTGGTTCTCGGTGCAATTGACCAGAAAATGATCTAAAATAAACGAGAACTGAGCTGATAAGATAATCCTCGGCTTCCGCCCCTAAAATTTGTATTACATTTCTCTCTACTTTATGCGTTGCGTTAGTTCCAACTTCGATAAGTAAGATGTTCCTGCGAAGTTCTATATTCCCCTAAAATCGTGCGAGTAAGAAATTTCACCGAAATGAGAAAGTAATGTGGATTGTTATCATAGTCATTTACGTGGTTTGAAAGTACGAATGAATAAATGATTGAATGGAAGCATGAAATCAAATAAATTAAAACACCCTCAGTATTTTTCATGGAATAGCGAGTGTTGCGAAAATGTTGTCTTAGGTCAGTTTCAGTTATAATTTTGCTTTCACAAGATGTTTTTGTGATTGTAATTTATGGAATGTTTAGAAACCTTTATCTAGAAATTTAATGTCAGTTAGGAAAAATGAATTCTTAATTGAACTTTGTGTCTCCTCGACATTTTTCGATAGGTTCAAATTACAATTTGTCTCTCGTTCAAAATGCTAATATTACTTAAACTCAGTTCATATAGGCCGAGTCAGTGGTTTTGTGAAAAATCATTTGGAAAAATTACGTGGTAGATGTTTAAGAAATACGGTATCGATCACATAATGAAAATGCATTTGACGTTTTCTTTAATTTTGTTTGCATTTTGTGGGGTCAAGTGTCAACCACATGCCATCTTCAACCACTTTGTACGGTAACTGGCAGCGGAAACCGTATTAATTAATAAAAATAACACATTTTGCACGTCCTGGTGAATGTAATTACAGTAAGTGGTCCGACTAACCGAGAGACGGTACACCTACAGTGGGCTAAAAGTGCCGAATGCTGGGGTTCTGTAAGTGATAATTTTGTTTTCCAGGCAACAGATAGTTAAACCTTAGACATAATAATTTGTTAGATCTTAATTCCGCTCGATCTTAAATAACGTCCTTAAATGGACAACAAATTCATCCTAAGGACATTACGTAAGGATAACTCTAAATCAAGATTAAGGATCAAAGCTTCTGAAAATCTCATTGTCCACCGTTGCTTCCGAGTTTGCGGTGGATTTCTGTCTTCTTTTGCTTTTCACAATTTCGTTACATGGCTGAGCCTTTTTCAGTGATGCTTTAGTATTTATTATCCGCTGACTTCCTTTGCTATGCCACGGCAATTCATCAATTGAGATTTTTCTTTGAACCGAAATTGAACCGGCTACTCTCTAATTGAACGCTTCTCTACGAGAGAGACCCTGAAAACTGAGAAATCATTTCGTCGCTTGGGCTCCTATCTTTATTGATTTTAAGGAAAAGCAATCAGAGCAGCAGTCAACAATTTTACAAACAAAGCAAACAGAGCTAGAGAAGGCAGATATTTTGCTAGATGAGTTTTCCTCGTGATCATGTGGCTGTCGTTCACTGTTCTGAGCCGCTCTAGCCATACTCCTAACAGACTTCACTTTCAAAAAAATAAACCCATTCACTTATTATGGTGAAAACTTTCATGATCCCAAACACATAAAAGCAGCAGCATTAAGAAAAGAAACGATTGACAAGTAGATGTTCAGTTTGACGAGCAGATGACAGAAGATCAGAAAACATAGTGCCTTTAAAAGTTGATTTTGACCATTTTGGATGTAAACTAAACACACCTGTAAACATTTGATGGGAAAACAAACGTGGAAAGTGTTTTCACTAAGGTTAGGGACTTAATATTTGTAAGTTTTGATTGCGTCTTGGCACAACAAGCATCAATTGGCACGACCTCACCAAAATTCCAATTCGATCTGGAAACAGTGGACAAGAAGAGCCACCCAGTGGATGTCCATTGCTAAATTATTATTATTATTATTTATTATTATTATTATTATTATTATTATTATTAGTTGACGAATTCGAAACAGGAATGGATAATCCGTTCAGCTGTCTCTGAGTGACAGCCTCAACATGGCTTCTTTCTTTAGGCTTTTTATTCCGTGCACTATGGTTTACAAAGGCCCCTTAAGCTTCTTCAAATGGCGATCGAGATAAACGAATTACCGTATGAAAAAGTAATTAGCGTAACGAGAAAAGACATTCAAATTTTCACTTTTCTTTTATTACAAAACAAATCTTTTTAAATTTATTAGAGCACTTTTCTAGGACAATCACAAAGTCAAAATAGCTAAGATGAATGCAATTCCGGGCTAATTGTTTGGTACTTACTTGAAAATTAATAACTTAGAATTTTAATTCTCCCTTTAACTGATAATGTAATTGAATAAAATACTGTACTGTATTACCACTAAGGAGCAGACGCATCCATAGGAGCTGGTATAAATTTCCTTCATAGTTTAATATTCATTTCTATTTTTACCTCGGAGGATTTGTTGGACATAACCACTCCGCTCTACTTTTGAAAAGAAGACGAAGCTTTCAGCTGTTTTCTTGTTACTAGCGCTGGCCCTGAGTGGGAGAAATAAATCTCTTATTTGAACTAAACTAGAATTTTCCACCATACAGGAAAGGTTTTCGGGACTTTTTTCTCCTAAACACGGTGTGCAAATATGGCGTGACTGATGACCACAGGCGGGCAGCCTGATCTGCATGTGGGGTTCTGACAGTTTTCTTTATAGATCTCAAAAATACTCTTTATGACTACGTCAATGACGATAAACTTAGCCTGCATTAATGAAGGTTTTTTTGGGCGCGTGGTGGTAATAACGAGGCGGAGCCGAGTCTATAAATCCGTTTTCTGTCCCAAGCCTCTCACGGTCTTGCAACTCACCGCAGCAAATCGCTCATAAAACCGCAATCTACGCGGGCTTCGATAGATACCATGATTCTAACACCTCCATCAAACTCTGTAGAGAAAGAGGGAAAGAGTTTACCGCCACAAGAATTGGAGTAACACACCAACAGTAAGTCCAATACCAAATGTTAATTTGCTTATTGATGAAAGAAATTGATGGCTCAAAACACAACTAGTGAAAGAAAATTGTGTAATGACGAGTTCATAGCGCTTAGGCGGTACTCTCCGCCGGCTTGAAAAATATATTTTTAAAAGTACATCGACCAACACAGATCTAGGCATGAATCCGGCGTGTTCCTTAGAAGAGATCACAAATTTTATGCGGCATTTCCTCTGCAGTTTGGTTGTAATTCCTAGTTCCTATCCTGTACCGGCCTAGAACAAGCTAAGCTAGCAGTAATTCTGAGTAATTACTTTTTCAGGCCTTAGACTGAAACAGGGCCTCTAAACTCTGCTGGCTGGATCATGACCAAGGGTATTTTTCAACAAAATAGGCAAAAGATAAAACAAAAGTGACTTGACGTTAACTCAAAGCTGTGATCATTCCTGGAACCTCAGAGGGATTTTGTAACCGTACACCATTGTTAACTGTTAATATTAAACTTCCCTAATTTTTGGTCGTCAATATTGCCGATTTCCACTGTATCATAAAGCCATTAAAAGAAATAAAGTCAAGAATCAAAGAGATAAAATAGATGAAAATCGAAACAGTCTTAGGTCTGTGTGATGTTTGGTGCGTGAGATATTCGAAGAAATGTTTTATTCAAATTTATAAAGCTTTGTATGAAGGGGTGTTACGAAAACGAAGACCCTCGAAAACGAAGACCTAAGACCCGGTCTTCGTTTTCTAACTACGAAAACGAAGACCCAGTAAACAGAAAACCGTAGAAATTACAAGTTAAACACACATTAAACAGCAACAACGCTTAGTAATAATTATAATACATTACACTTCACACGTTTCTTCTCATTATTATTCGTATTATTATACGGCCCGTCTTGTCTGTTCTGTTTCGCTATGCGAGCCAATTTCGTGTTGATATTCTCGAGGGTTTCCTCGGGTAAACTTACAACACATATTATTATTCTGGAACAGCAGGCAGAATTCGAACGTTAGCCGCCTTTGAATTATAGTTAGCATTGCAGAATAACAGAGAAGGCGTACTGTACAGGAAAAATGACTGGTTCTGTCAATAAGTAATCAATTTCTACTGTATTTCATAGCTAAAATCATTGCTTAAAATAGATTCTGACGGTCGTTCAGCTTTCTCTGCTGGAAAATTCTCGTTAAAAACTAAGCTACTGCAGGGTCTTCGTTTTCGTAGTACGAAAACGAAGATCCGGGTCTTTATGACTTTATGACAAGACAAAAAACCCGATCAAACTGAAAATTTGTAAAGGATTAGTCTTTATGTAAGATTTGTCTTAATGTAAGATGTTAGTCTTTATGTTAATTTGTAAAAGGATTAGGCTTTATGACAAGACAAAAATGTAAGATGTAAGATTATGTAATCATTATGTAGGATTAGTCTTTATGTAATATATTAGTCTTTATGTAAATTTGTAAAAGGATTAAGCTTTATGACAAGACAAAAAACCCGATCAAACTGAAAATTTGTAAAAGGATTAGTCTTAAACTGTTCCATTAACTAACTATTCTAAAATATCGTAAGGATTGATCATTCCTTATTTTTTAATCGTGATGACGTCACGTGAAAACCAAGAATAAACGTGTCAATATGTTACCGCCTGCAGTGGATACACTCAGTCAGTGGTGCGATTCGTGGATATCGTTAAATCGGGGGATCAACCTTTGTTTCCAGAATCTCTCATCTTCCAGCCCCCTTTCCTCGCTCAAGGGGGCGATGAGACTCTGGGAACGAGGTTGATCGGGGGATATGAAATTGAGATATGAATGATACTCCACTTCTGACTACACTTTGATTCAACTTTCAGGTAATTTACGGTGTGAACTCCATTGGTATACAATGCAAAGTGAGGAAGGAATCTTAAACATCACTGCTACGGCCACGGGTACAATGATTAGCCCACTCATTACTTATCACTGTCGTGTGCGTGAAAAAAAAAAAAAATCAGTGAAACTTTACGAACACTGACAGACGAGCGGCACTCTGCCCTAAAGTGTTCGCAGTAATCAGATTACACGAGCAAATTCCACTGTTTACAACGCTTTTCTCTCGGGTTGCCGAGCAAAAAACTTTTATGGTTTGAGTCAAGAATTCCTAATTTCAAACAGCTTGGTTGCTTCTCGGAATTTCAAAGCGCAGATAGTGTCATATTTATACACTTCTTGATGATGACAATTAGCGCTCTTCGGAGCATACTCCAGCTTTACCCTTCGACCCTTAAGAGTGAGTAACCTCTTATTTTTCCTTACAATATCACCGCTGAATCACGCATTGAGGTCGCGAGAATAAAGGGAATGATCACCAACTAGAGAAACTTTTGGTTGTAAACCAATTTCTCCCTGCCAGCACCTTAGAAGTATAGAAAACAGTATAAAAGATAGGTATAATGATGTAAGGACGTAAAAGATTGATGCTGTGTCGTTTATCACTTCACAGAACTGCAAGAGGTGTCCAATTCGTCCTCCGATCAAATCCCGGGACCTGAACCTAATTCAAGTTTTGTCATCTTCACAACAATTTATGCCGTGATAGTTTTCATCGTTGCTGTGGTTGGAAACTCCTTAGTGATATACATCGTGAAAACGAGGGAATACATGAGGAACTCCACCAACATACTGATAGCCAATATGGCAATCGCAGACATCTTAATGGCATGTTTATTTCCATACATGCTCAGGTGGCTGTATGTCGGAAACGCTTGGTTTGGAACGTTTATGGGGATAGCTCTATGCAAGTTTTTCCATTCTGCTCAGGTGCTCTCCATCTCGTGTTCTGTTCTAAATCTTGTTTTCATCAGCCTTGATCGATGTTTAGTGATATGGTTTCCACTGAGGCGAATTTTCACTAATAAAGTCCTGAAGGCGTGTTTGGTAAGCAGTTGGGTTTTCTCAACAGCTTTTGCTATGCCCCTGATTATAATGACCACAGCAAAGAAAGATGAAAATGGAATATATCGTTGTAACGAATATAACTGGCCTACTCATCAGGATAAAATCGACTACGCTACTTCGTTCACAGTTTTATCCTACCTTATTCCTCTTCTAATCATTACCATCGCATACATACTCATTGGTGTAAAACTTCAAAAACGGGAGTTGCCAGGTGTTCAAACCTTGGAATATCAAAAGAAAGCCCATGAAACGACGAAAAAAGCCATAATAATGCTTGTCACGGTGGTTGTCGTATTTGCACTCTGTTGGCTTCCGCTCCAAGCGCGGGAATTCATGCTGAATTATTTTCCTCAGACCATCTCGCTCTTTCCGTATGAAGTGGAACTATTTCTACCTTGGATTGGAGTTTTAAACAGTGCAATTAATCCCTGGTTGTATGTTATATTTTCTGAGAATTTTCGCCGCGAGTTTGGCCGCGTTCTTTGCTGTATGGAAAACACTCGCTCTGATGCTTATTTGGGAATCCCTGCAACACGTGCGACGCCTATGACGACGCCTTTAATGTCTCGGCGCATGACGACTACGCCTGTTATTGGACGGCGCACTCTGTCAGCCGCTAACGTGCACGAGACGCTTCCTCTGCGACATTTAGCAAACGATTCGAAATGAACTGAATTTGAAGGACCCGAAATTATTCTTCAACTCTGATCACTGTACAGGCAAACGAGTTTCAACTTTGAAACTGTTATTTCAACTAGTTGAAACACTTTAAAAATACTTGTCAAGTAGCAAGGTAACGATTATGTTGTTTTTGTTTCAATCAGTCTTGGAGATTTAATCACCTTGTTTCTGGACTTACGGAAAATTGCCAACGGATAACAAAAAATGGCGCTTTTCGCAGCATTTTTTTGCTGAAGAACAAAACTAAAATTTTAACCCATCAAAGCAAGAATGAATTAAATTTAGAATAAATTAAAGCTTAACATTATTTGTTTTTATGTAATAATTAACTATTAAGTTGATGAAATTTGAGATGTTTTGAGTTCTACTTAATTACCTTGTTTCCGTTGCATGAAATAAACTTTATTTATGGTGACATGTTTTGAACTATTGCGTTCTTAGGAAGCAAAGTTCAAGTTCATTTATGAGCTCATTCATGTTGGAGAAAAGTAAACAATCATGTACGTAGTGTGGTTTGCAGAATGCAACATGAAATAAGTTAATTCACAAGCGAACAAAAGTGGAAGTCGCCACGAGCAAACCGGGCAATCAGAGTCTGACAACAGTTGCTTACAATTGGCCGAATTCCCTTCGGCCTCTTTTCCATAACGAGGCCAGGTGCTCAAAAAATGTGTGAAAATGAGTTTAATTTGCATATGAATGAAAACCGCTGACGTATTATCATATGAAAGGCTGAGCAACTGGGCTCGCTTTAAAAAAGAATTTAGATTCATACGTGTGCTCACAAAAGTACAGTCAAAATTCCAATCACGCCCTCTTTTTTTCCGCTCTGGCGGCCGGCGGACCTTCCATAGAACCACTCGTACCCGAACCTCTCTTCCATGTTCACCTCTCCAAAATGGCAACGGCCAACGAGGCGTTTGTCTCCTTCGCAACCGTTGTTCGGTTTCGTCTCGAAAAGTGTTGTTTCCCCATCATGCTTTGCTTAACGAGACCCAATGACTGTGGGGGACTGGTGGTGAAGTGCGGTTACTGTCGGTATGATCTTAATTGACCACTGATAGAGATGCAACACGGTAAGAAAGGTGTTTAGACAACATATCCAATATGGGCTTGCGAGGGTACAGACATATCGCTCATCGTTGACTTCGTTATAGATATACATTCTTTTTGCATATGAAAGGTTACAACAAACCACGATCACAAAGAATTAAAGAATACCGAAACTTTATGACTATTTCCCCGGAATAAAAACTAATCAGCGGAAGTATATAAAGAGACATAACAGATATTAATGAAAATTTGCATAAATAACCATGTCCTTTTTTGGCAGGTAACTTTTGAATTAGTAGTGTTGATGAGGGTAAAGGTCACTGAATAATTCTGCTTTGTTGTATTGGATGTTGGCTAATATAAAGTGCTCTTAAGGACCCTTGTTAGTTTGATTATTTCTTCAGTGAAACCATCTGCCTCTCGGACTATTTACAGACTATTCGTTGCAGTCCTTCAGTGAATCATGAAAATTTAATACCATGCAACCAGCAAAAAAAAAAACGGCCTTTGTCTTCGACAATGGACTTTGATGGAAGTATTTTCGTGTAATGAAAAGTGGAGTGCGGTTACAAGATGTGAATTCATCCAATAATTCTATTTTCTTTGATATAGAGGCATTTTTTAACTTTGAATATACTATCTAAAGCACAATACTAACAATTGTTACAATAATCAGGGAAAACCTAAGATAAAGTGATTATAACCGAAACTTTTAAGCTCTTCAAGCTAGTCGTCTTAATCATGACCTTCTCTATGTATCCTAATGAAAAATTTTGCGCGCTAAAATGAAGCACCAAATACCCGACCCGGTGGAAATGTTGACTTCAGGTGGTATGCAGGTCTGTCTGTGTTTACACGTGATTTGCACAAATAACAGACATGTTGTTCAAATATTGTTCAATAAACGAGAGGTCAACATAAAAAATTGCGGAGCACACTGTTTGAAACAAGACAACTGAATTATCACAGGTAGCAAAAAGCGATTTATTTCGGATTAATGCGTTGTTTTTCTACTTCTTTCAGTGCCCGAGGTAAGCCTTAATGATTTCAAACCTCAAGTGGAAATTATTACCACGCTCTCAGGGTGGGCTTTACATGCATTTCTTTTTATCACAGTGTTTTGTTAACTTCGAAAATTTCAAAAAGATTTGAAAACTTTAATCAGTGCGGTTGTGGACTAAAAACAATTGTAAATTGATACTCAAAGATTTATGGTTTTCGGAAACCAATTATAAAAAAATAACATGACTTCAGCTCAGTAGACGGGAATCGGCACTAAAAGGTCAATATTTTAACTGAAAACGTGATAGCTGCTCGCAGAATATTTCCCTCTGGAAACATGATATTTTGGTACTGAAAGAACATTTCATTTTCGTCTGGAACAGATTCAGGCCTAGAATTGTTCACAGGGCTACAGAAACATGACCGTACCCCAGAAGAATCAGATCAAGTTTTCGTAGTTGCGTTTGGCAGGGTGGCACAATGTGCAGGGGAGCTAAATTCTATCCTTTGATGTCTCTGCTTTAATTCACTTAGAACTACGTGGTCAGCCAGGTCAAAGTACTGAAACAGTTAGCTCGACAAGTGCCCTTTAAATAAACATCCTGCAGAACTTTCACTATGAATATAAACATCACGAACAGATACGATAAACAAAAGGTTTGAAATCAGGTAAGTTGACGTAATCAATATCACGATAAAACGTATTTTGTGTGCGGTTAAATATGTAAATATCAATTTATAAAAGGCCGTGATTTCGTGCGCACAGTTTGTAATCCTTCAATTGAGTCCTCAACAAGGATTTCTCTTCGACCTCCTAAAACATATTATCTAGTATATCCTAAATATGTTGTAAATTGATTGCGGCCCTCTAAAATCCAATGGAATTAAGGTCTCACAGGTCGAGACCATAACATGATAAACACAGTGCTTGTTTTCGCGTGTCGTGAGCGCCTTTAATTTTGACGCAAGCACTTGGAAAGCTATTGCTTTGACTCCAGAAGGTACATCACTGAGGTAAGAAGTTGTTACAATGTAATAATGATGTTAAAGACCTATCACTATCATTAATGTTATTAGGAAACTCTTCAGGAACACGATAATTAATAACTGAGGGGCCTTTCAGAAAATATGCTGCGCAAAATGTTCGGAATTATAGTTGACCAGGTCACTACGGGAGATGAATAATTACTAATATGAGAGAGCATGGGGTGCGGTGGAGATTCGTGGGCTTCACGTGCGCGCAGCGAAAATTTCTCGTTAGCGTACACAGGATGCGGATGAGTAATAGCAATGATAGTGGAATATCTTTATAAGAACTGTTGAGTGGAACCAGCAGCTTGCTTGACCTTAGAAACGTGCCATCAAAAACTGGTTCGAGTCGCGGTTCACATGTAGAAGGTTACATAAAAGCGAAAGAGCGTGTGTTTCACACGGCTTAATTTCTGATCTCTTTTGCTTTGGCTGTATGTTGTTCAACACAAAACCAAGCAATGCTTTCATTAGCTAACTATCCAAAAGCCCCGTTGCAGATAGCTTCAGTTCATCACCAGTCTAAAAGGGTACTGCTGGTTTTTAACAAACTTGGATGCACCTTGTTTTTACAGAAGTTTCGGTGTAGTTTTCCAGTTCGGAGAGATGACTCTGCAGACGCCAAAGCGCTTTATATTACGCAGATGTTTTTAACTTCAATGATTTTTTGAGCCCTGCATTTCTAATCAGCTATTTAACTATTTCCTATATATTTTGATCATGATTATCTATCAAACTTTCGCATCTGCTCTTTACTAACGATGGCTTCGATAACAATGACAGGAAACTCCTTAGAAAATCATAACACTGAATAACAACGAATCAAAACAAGGCCAAACCGTAAAAACTTGATGCTCTTCAGGGCTGTCTAATTTCAAATTCCAGCTAATCCGCTTTTAAATGACACTTTTTTTCTGTCAGTACGGGTAGCTTTCGTGTAAGTTATCTGGGGATGAATAACGAATCAGTGCTTTATCTACACTTTCGCGTTCTCATGTGACAATTAATAGTTTCGTGCTGTTTGTAAGTCTGACCTAATCTCTGAAGGAATTAGAGCAAAAAAGCCGGGCTAAAAAAATGCGGTGCGTTGTCTTTTGAAAGATCGTAATCTTGGAATATTTACGGAAAAAAAAGATAGAAAAACTCAATTTCAGTTAGCTATTTTCTCACCACTGAGCCTACGGATGAAAACACGGAGAGTATACTAACAGAGAATTATCAGATGAAGATAAGAAAAAGTGGAGGACAAACAAAATTTCATCTTGTTACCACTTTACGCTTAGAAGGGCCTGAGACTGGTTATATAAATACGTTTTCGTGACTGTAAGGGATAACTGAGGTGTGATAGGTGACTGAAGCCGGCCTTAATACCTGTAAACCCGGTTAATCCAAGCTTCGGCAATGATCCTTTAATCTGTTAGCTAGTAGTTGTTTTACCGGCTTATTATGCCCTCGTTATCTCATAAAAATAGCAAAACAACGCTACAACTCCGGGACCAGATGTTTAAAAGCCGATTTCGAGCGCTTGTTAATGCAAACTGTGATTTTTGTTTCATTTACGTATTTCATTCTTGGTTGCTATCACAAATATGAGGCTTTCGGCGTAAGGCTTACGCCGGATTGATGCTGAGTAAACCGCTCAGAAGAGCAAACGAGGAGAACCAATACTTGTTTCACTTACATCAGTAAAATGCCCGCTAGTCGCGAAAGAAATCACTAGAAGAAGCATTTTATTGCATTTAGCCTGGCCAAGTTCTTTTGCTCCACGCATGTATAAGGTAAGCCCGATATCACTTGAAATTTTAATCCAAGGGGCTCAGTCGTTACTAAGGTTCTCATTGACACTTATGATTGCTTCACGTGAAGGAATCTTTTGGCATGCTCTCTCGTATCACCCGAGCGACTCTATAGCTTTCGAATAGTCTATAAACAAGTTCTTCTTTTAATAAGTGAGTTGTAACCAGGTGGGTTCAATTCGTAATTATATAAAATTGTTACGCTCACGGTAGAAACAATTTTAAAGATTGATATTCAAAAAGATATCCTAAAATTCTCACGTTTCGGCCAAGAACTCCAGGGGAAAGTAATAAGAGAAATTTACAAAAAGCACGAATTGTTGAGAAAAAGCAAATTTGAACGATTGTTGATAAAGTCTTGTCCTTTTAGCACTAAAGTAAAATACTCGAGTGGCAAATGAAGAAAAATCGTTTTGTTTGAGCAGGTCCCTGCAAATGTTTATCCCCATTGCTTCTAGAAGGCGTTGTGATTGTCAAATTGCACTTTTGCTTAATTCATAAATTAAAGAGAAGCAACCATGGGCG